CCAAACATGTGTAAATGGTACCCCCCCGGTACCTAGGTTGTATCCTGTTCAAGTCTACCGCCTTGTCCCTAATATGTGGTCGTGTCCCTTTGTTGTTTACTATACTTCTGGCCTGGCTCCGGAGGCTTCTAAGTTTAGGGTTTACTGGATGTTTCTAAATTCAGGGTTTGCTATGGTTTTTGCTCCCGAGGTTTCTCCAAACTCAGGGAAGCGGTTGGAAATGACTTGTCTGTGGAGAGTCATGGAAGAGGTTGGTTTTTGCCAAATTTTCCAACAATTTCCATGATTTTCCAAACTATGGTTCCGACTCAAGGTGTTTCTCGAAATTCATGGAAGTTGTTGGTTTTATCAACATTTTCCATGACTTCCCACAGACACATCATGGAACATGTTGGTTTTACCAAGATGTCCAACAGTTTCCATAATTTTCCAAACTATGTCTCTGGCTCAGGAGGTTTCTCGAAATTTATGGAAACTGTTAGCTTTACCAACATTGTCCATGATTTCCCACAGACAAATCATGAATCATGTTGAGTGTACCAACAATTCCAACAATTTCCATCATTTTCCAAGCTATGGCGCTGGCTCACGAGCTTTTTCGAAATTCATGGAAATTGTTGGAATTGTTGAAGGTTTTTCCAACAATTTCCATGATTTTCCAAACTATGTCTCTGGCTGAGGAGGTTTCTCGAAAATCATGGAAATTGTTGGTTTTTCCCAGAATTCCAACTATTTCCATGATTTTTCAAGCTATGGCGCTGGCTCACGAGGTTTCTCGGAATTCATGGAAAGTGTTGGAATTGTTGGTCTTGCCAATATTTTCCGTGAGCCAATCATGGAAAGTGTTGGTTTTACTTTCCAAACTATGGCGCTGGCTCACGAGGTTTCTCGAAATTCATGGAAATTGTCGGAATTGTTGAAGGTTTTACCAACATTTTCCGTGAGCCTTTCATGGAAAGTTTTGGTTTTGCCAACAATTTCCATGATACCATATGTTTTTGCTTTTGGGCGAGCCCAAAGAAACTGCTAATTCTCATAATGCTCACCCGCACCGCTTCCAACGACCCCACTGGTGCTCATGATGCTCGTCATCTTATGTACTCCTGCGATGTGTGTTTGCACAATGGGCTGGCAAGATATTCGCATCCTTGATTAAGCGCAGTAGTTTGTCCAACACGAAGCGAGGAAATAATCCCTGCTTGAACACGTTACTGTGCGAGCACCAGCTTACCGGCTCTTCTGCTTATCACGAACAGAGCTATACTTCATGTCTACGGTTCGAGACTTTACTATACTGCTGTACGAAGATGCCAATGCTGGTTTAATCACACACTTCCTAAGACTGATGTGGTAGAAGGTATTTACTTTGTCATGTCTTTCTTGGTGTTTGCATGAGGGGGTTTAGTCGTTGTGTTTATGCAGTTTTTGGTGTGGCTTTATTTGCTTACAATAAAGAGCCCTGTCTCAAAAAACTAGCATTTGCACCAGAATTGTGTCATACATCATTGTCAAAGGTCGTCATGTCGTAGGTACCAAATTTCGATAAGATTTTGGAAAGTCTACGAATCCCATGCACAGGACTTGTATTATGCACACAGTAAAGATGAATTAAACTCAGACTAAACATGTCGAAATGAACTGGACCTTAGAGAAGGAAAAGCTAGCAATATCGACTAGTAATATACAGCGGAACATAGAACCTACAGTGTAATGCGCAGCCACGGCGTGTTGTATTATGTTTGACTGGGAGCACCACCTGTAAGAGTCTGTTCTCAACAGGTTCCAAGCAAGCAAATGTGTTATTGATTAACCATTATCCTACCAAGAGGTCTCAGAAGCAAAGGTGTGAGTATTCAACAGGTACTGAATGGTAGGTTTTTCCTTATCGAAATGTATAAACACAGGACTCAGCAAGTAGTATATTTACTCTGTATATAACGTTTGGCTATTATTCAGCAAAGTCTCTGAAAAGTATACGAAGTATTCAGCATGAACAATCACAACAGTAGTTGACTCGTAGTTGACGCAGTGAATCTTGACTCAGACATGATAAGAAACCGGGATGTACACAATGCCAGCCCGGTCAGTATTGATGAAGTACAATACTAACTACAGTAGCAGGATCTACGCTAATGGTTAAATCATGTGATGACAACATTGCTAGACGTAATACTCAAGCCACGGTTAATTTTTTTGAGTTCGACATAGAAGAATAGATAATGTAGCAATTTAGACAGGGCTGAGGAAAGAAACGGAGAGCGCATTCCTAAGGCAATGAAGGCTATACTTCCAGCAAAAATCCCTAAACCTACACGTATCATAGCACGTCACGAACTGCTACCATTGTTGCTATTGACTGCTAATTTGACAGATACGCATGAATCATTGTGCAGTGGTGCGAAGACTAGAGATTTTAACAGGTATAATGACACTGTCTCACACTAGGGCTCACTCCGTATATAATTTCTTTAAGCAATGAACTCACTGATTAGCACTTGTACCAGACTGCAAAACCCACCAACACCGCTGACTGTATAAACAAGTGGACGTTCAATGAACGTGTGTGTACTATAGACTATAACGGCAGCCAACTAAACATAGTCACCATCAACCTTGATACGAAATCTGCGTGGGTG